AAGGTCCACTCTGCTATCAGAGAAGTACCAGGAGCAACCCGCATGGTACACCGCCCTCCGAAGAGGGCCACCTCCCACCGCCCACCGAAGTGGGCCACATCCCTGTGCGTTTCTTGGCTTCGCGCCCGGTTGGGTTGCCGGGCACTACTGAGCCCCCTCACCACGACAAGGTGAACGCACGTTGGGGGGGTGGTGTAACAACCCTATATAAACTTGTTATAAAATTATCTACATGTTTTTGATACTTTGTTCATTCTGGAAAATGATACGAGCAATTAACTTCAATTTACCTGTTTATACCCGGATGTCAGGTAATGTGTTCGAAAAAGGCCGACAAAGGTATGATGGCATTTTCTACTAGTCTTTTACTTTCAATCGATACTATTTTATCGCAGGAAAAGAGTTCTTGTACTTAAAATAAAAAATAAAAAAACATTTTTTTTAATATCGTATACATGTATCTAATTGCAAAAGCCTAAAATATCAACTAAGAAAAAACTATTTGCCGCTACATTCTACCACTCTTTGTCATTTGCTTTGTATACACAAAAAACGACGCTTTCAAAACATTAAACTAAATCTCTTGAAATCTTTAATTTAGAAACATTTTCTCTTTTAAAGATTATTTTAATGTCACTGCTTTTCAAATTAAAGGCTGAAAAAACCTGTTTTTTAAATATTATCACTGTTTGTTTAATACAAACATTACACATTTTCGAATTGACACATATCAAAATTATTATTAGAACTGTCCAAAAACATTATTCAGGATATATGACAACTATCCTTGGGCTCTAATATAGATAGGAGGTACCTATCTATATCAATAATTCAGACTGACAGACGGAGATGTAACAAACGAAAAGTGTAAACCTAAATGATTTTAAAATAATCCAAAACCGTAAAAAGATAAATATTCAAAAAAAAATAATTATTGAGCATAAAGTTTTACGTGAAAAATATATAGTATTTTTGTATAACGGAAGTTAATTTAAAAGCCTATTTAAAAATATATGTATATTTTTACGAACAATGGTTCTGGAATTGGACATTTCCTTGTCATTTATAATATTATAGCAAGTGCTTTTACTTACACCAGAGTCACTTATATTCCACCACTATACCTTCACTGCTCTTTACTTTGCTTTGTACTTCTTAATATCTCTTCTTAATCTTCACTTAATCTTCAGCTTGCAATGATTACAGAAGTAAATCCTGGAAATTAGAAAGTGTTCTAGTAGTATCAATTTCTTTCGGGAAGTATCCTCTGTTTGTCACACTTGATAATTTCCCGATAACTGTTCGTGTCGTGGATTAACAATTTTATTATCTACTAGCGACTTTGCTTCCCCATACAAACTTTCATCCCCATTCTATAACTTATGGGATGATTTCCGGGATAAAAACTATTTCACTCACTTTTCACATCATGAGATTAAAAAAATCTTATTTTAGTAAAAAAAATCTTTTAATATTCTTCTATACAAAGCTTGTCCAGGCACTAAAAAACACAAAAAAAATATCCAATTTGGTGCAGTCGATCGGAAGTCATGCGTGTACACTGTACATACATTTCGATGATACATTTTTATTTATACAGATTGATATGATTAAGCATATGAATATAATATACTAGCAGTACCACGGGTACTGCGTTTTATTTTTTTGAGCCCTGCGGCTTCACCCGCGTTCAAACTACTAAAAACAAAAACTTTTGGACACACGCCGACTGCAGCGCCATCTACCGGGTCTAATTGTGTTTTTAAATCATCCAGGAGCCTATTTAAATAGTGTATATTTAAATATACACACAAAAATTCTTTAGGAGGAGTAAGGTGACAAACACACGTACAAATATACATATGTATATACTCGTATTAAGATTACAAGAATCATTCAGGCGTAATTCAATGCAAAGTCGTTCCTCATCGCAATTAGTTAGGTACTAAAGGCTAAAAAATTTTTACCAGACTACGCGACGTAAAGGAGGGTAATATGTTTATCAGTCTATGTATGTATGTTTGTTCCTATGTGCAGTTCTAGAGACCAAACGCGTGGACTGATTTTGAAGATTTATACGTCGTTAGACTCGTCTTGATAACGCGAGTGTCGCTATATAAAAATAGTTATAAATTAAAATAGCGGATTTCAGGCGCCAATTTGTCTTTAAAAATTTTTTTATCCAAACCATATCAAAATAAAGGTTTTCAAAATAGATCACAAAAATATATACAAATTATATTTTTAAAACATGAACGAATTAGATCATGGTTTAAAAATAATTTAGCCTAAAAATTGCTAAATATAACTTCAAATGTCTTACTGGCAAAAACTAATAAACTGTAAATAAAAATATATGTTATAAAAATAAAAAACCCAACTGCATAATAGCTAAATTAAAATAACTAAAAAGGTGAAAATAAATTGACGAAGGAATATAGTATCCCACTAAAAACATTTTCATGTAAAATGTTGCCAAGATGAGACCATATGGCTAGACTTGTCAAAAAGTTATCAGATTTCGTGTAGACCTAAGCTTCTAACTCTACACGCCCTAACTCTACAAGCCCTAACGTCACAAGCTCTACCCCTTAGCCAAAATATGTGGCTTGACCGTTTTGCTATTGTCACATGGGCGTAAGATGAAAAATTTATTCACTGTTCCTTACTTCTCTGTTATACGTTGTTATGTTCTTGTAGTAACGATATTGTTTATTCACGATATTGTTTATATGGTATAATCCCAACTCAATTTATGACGGTTTAAAAAAACGACGAAACGCTTCGAGTAAAGGTAGGTAGTGCCCTTGCGCTTCAATTGGCTCGTCTTGGCGGGGGCACTACCGTGCTCCCAGATTATGCAGTCGGAGACTTACATAATATGTAACTATGTATGTCTCCGACTGTATAATACTATATTCCTTCGTCAACTTGTTTTCATCTTTTTAGTTATTTTAATTTAAGGTGATCTGAAGCACCGTAGTATATGTAAACCCACGACAATAAAATAGAAAATAATTATTTCTGACTATTCTCATAAGCACCTGATCTCCTGTATTTTCCTTATACACTGTCTACACTTCCAATTAGAATTAGATTTAAAGAAGGTAATATGAGTAAAATATTAAATAAGACCTTAATTACTTTTTTTTTTAATTAAGAGAAGCCTTGAGAAAATTTTATATTGAGAAAATTGTAAACTGATGTCGCAGACGGTATGACAGGACGACCTTATATGGAATTTTCTATAAAATCTTATATTAAAATTCTTCTTTTAAATTATACTTGAAAAAATTGTAGAGCATGAATATAAAATTCAAATAAAAGGTAAAAAAACTTTTGAGGGAAGGTATAATGAGTTTTCTATTTCTAGTAAGCTTTAAATTATTAAAAATATTCCAATCATATCTTCATTATCATAGCTTTATTAATAATTATTATATTTCAAACTTAAAGCGTTCTAAAAGTATCTGTCATAGTACTCATAATCTATCATATCTATATCCTATTCATCAATTAGTTTTAATACGGTAATGTTATATTATAACATTAACACATGGTTTTAATGTCCCCGCTGTGCAAAAGTATTTTCAAATATGTTTAATTATATTATTACAATTTATTTACTTTTACTAGCTTTAAGAATGATAGATGTTGATCATGTGAAATATGATAGAAAGTGAAACGCGTATGTATATACCTTGTACTATTATAATACATACTTAATTACTAACTTGTTTGACATATTAAAACTGTGCTTGTTTGTCCTTCTCTCACATTGAAACAGAGTGACGATTTGGCGGGACTTTTTATGTGGAGATAGTTGGAGCTCTGGAGAGTGATAAAGGCATCTTTTTACCGCGGGAGATTACCTCATTCCCACGGGAAAACACTTTATAATACAACCCACAACAACTAATCATACCTATCACTAATCATACCTATGTATCTATATAATATATTATATAGCAACTATTCTATACTAACCGCTAAAACGTACCGTATAAGGCACAAATTACATACTATTACGTATGTACATGGTACGTAATATAAGGTAATATATTCTTATAGGTAATATATAACTTTCTCCGGATTAATATTAACTTTATATTACTTTATACTAGCGACTAGCGTTTGGCTTGTGTGCAATCCTAGAGGCCTTCTCTATACATATAATAAAATTCTAACTAAGCCGAATCTGTACATTAAATATTTTTTGGAAAATCTTATTGCAATAGACATTATTATCGATACAGAGGCCGAATCTATAGTGTTTGTCTGTCTGTCTGTTTGTCTGTCTGTTACCGCATCACGGAAAAACCACTGAAGGGATTTTGATGAAATTTGGTATGATGGTAGCTAGTTACCCGGGTCAACATATGGAATACTTTTTACTGCGGGAAAATACCTCGTTACTGAGAAAAAATACAAAAACTGCAGTGTACGAGTATACTAATATGTAAAACTTAAGAATTTGGTTTTTGGTCATGTGAACGCGGGCGGAGCCGCGGGCAATGTTAGTTTAATTATAATATCAAATAGTAAAGACTCGCCATCTTTTGGCGAACATTACTAACAATAATGTTTACCAAAAGATGGCAAAGTGGAGTAACAGCCTATGTGTTTCTCCAGGTCACAGCCCGTCCAGCCGTCTCATCGTGATTTATTAATTACAAACAATAATGATTTCATCATTATATACATAAGTTTCTACCATTTTGCATAAGCGTGACAATTAATATGTATAGAAACACATTGTAATTAGTAGTGAGAATTTCTTGAAAAACCTTATTTATTATGGATGACGGGTTGTTGTTTGTGAGATCTACATGAATCGCGTGTATGCAGATTTGCTTTGTTATCTTCTTTTGTTCTAATACTTCTACTTATAAAATATTAGTTTCACATTCATAATATTAATCAATTACAACAAAAATCAATTTGATTTCTTAAAAGTATCTATATCGTCCTTTATTCCTTACCTTTAATTTTTATTACAGCACTCCCGTGTAAAATCTGCTAAATTAGCGAGGGTACCCAGAGAAGAGGCGCGGCCAAAACAGACATCACAAAATAACACTAGTGAGTATTAACACATTTTACAACCAAGGAAGCAAGCAATACAAACATGCTTACTTATAAAATTAATAATCGATAAGCGATAAAATATTTAATTTTTTTTGCAATATAACCGCAATGCCAGTCTTTTATTAATGTAACTATTTTGACTCTTTCCAGTAACATTCATTTACGGTGGATGTGAAAGTTTTTCATGCGGGGAGGAATATGCTTGTTATCAATACAATTCCACCGTGTACTACTGTGTGTGCACAACAAATGCAGAACCCGCCAAAGAAGGCGTGACGTGTCCAAGAAGCACAGGTATGCAATATGTAGTCTAAAATGAACATATATTACAAGTTCATAGATCAGTTTTTATTACCTACTAGCATGGCCCGCGGCTCCGCCCGCGTTCAGATGACCAAAAACCAAATTCTTAGTTATTACATATTAATACACTCTTACATTGCAGTTTTTGTATGTTTTCTCTGAAATGAGACATTTTCCCACGGTAAAAATTTTATATGTTGACCTGGATAACCAGCTATCACCATACTAAATTTCATCAAAATCCCTCCAGTGGTTTTTCTGTGATGCGGTAACAGACAAACAGACAGACAGACAAACAGACAGACAAAAATTCTAAAAACTATAGATTCGGCCTCTGGATCTATAATAATGTCTATTTCAATAAGATTTCCCAAAAAATATCTAATGTACAGATTCGGTTTAGTTACAATTTTATTATATGTATAGATATGTAGTTTTTGTTATGCTTATCTCTGTAATAGTTTTTTCTAATTCACAACGACATAACATAAAAATCTCTTACTATATCTTCGGAATTTCTTACTAACTGTCTGACAGGAACTTCATAAAGTTTATTTTAATACAGGTATGTGAAAACGTTAAAAATATTCTGATGCAATTCGTGAAGCGACTATTGAGTATAATCAGCATGACTTAACAGACGGAAATCAGGCTAAAAAATTTAAAAAATTAGAAGAATTTAGAATATTTAGAATGTATTTTACATAATATGGGCCCAGAGCATCAGTCCCGGTTGCCTTCCCCCCTTTTTTTAATGTTGGGGAATGCATTTACGCCTTCCTCTATAGACCTTGTGCACAAAACAAAACTTAAATTTTCAAAACAATAGTTAGTAATCAAAATATAATAATTTATAAAATGTATAAATTTCAGTGCCCCTGACGCAACGACAAGCAATTCACAACGTGATCCCGCCGCGCCCATCAAATGCTACCGACCTCAGATACCCAGCGTCCCCGCCCACTGCACAAGTGAGACCATTCATCATCATTAACACTTCATCTTGTATCTTCTTATCAAACACTCTTCTAGCCATGCTTATTATTTATTAAAAACATCATAAAAGATCTAATCTCTAAAAGAGATAAGTTTGATTGCGTTTTAGTTTACAAACGCCAACGCTGCTTTTAATGGCTTTACAATATTTAACACAAAAATTTTAATACTATTTATTTAGAATTTATTAGAGAAAACCAAACTACAAGATATATTTATAAATCGAATACAATTAAACTTTGAAAGTAAATTCAAATAACGATTTCACAAAAGATACTTCTATAATATGTAGGTTCCTATAATTGTTAAATTACTATTAAAGAGATAAATTTCTTTAATGTAATATTTTGACTTTGAAAGTTACTTTTACTTACGTCATGTACAATGAAATGTTCTCTTCCATCATAACTGATAAATATTCATGATATTATGTCATTGCTGATAACGTATTTAGAGCCACCCTTGTAGAAGTGCCATCGCTTATAACAAAAGTATTTACCTACTCAGACTATACGAAAGTTTCAATTGTTTACTACAACTACTAGTGAAAAACAAAAACAAATCCATCCCACGGGACCCGGACTTTCGTTCAGAAAAAATCCTATGTGCTATTCCAGACTATAATCTATCTATGTGCCAAATTTCATCCAGATCGTTTCAGCCGTTCTGGCGTGATTGAGTAACAAACTAAATGGCCGTAAATGGAAGAGCAGCAAATAGTTACTTTAAGAATATTAATATATCTGTACAAAGAATGTCTACTTTTTGGTGGAGGAGTATGATGTATATTTGTCCCTTTCCAATCTTCTTAAAATTTCCAATATTTTCTCGCTTGGAATGAAAATTATGCATGCGCATCTCTTTCTCTTCACATTCTCAGGTACGCCAATACTCCTTCTATTAATTGGATATTACAAAGACCTAATTCATTTGTTGAATCCCAGTATAGCCTTTAATTCTGTTTTTATTCTTATCATTCATTCATTGTTACGTCTTCGGGTGCCAACAATGCGTGACGAGCAACAATAGCTCATTGGATTCATTAAATCTCTCTATTTTTCTCTTTCTCAAAGAGGGTAAACTCTGTTTTAGAGATAAGCGACTCCTACCAGTATTTATATACATACATATGTCAACTAATTACATATATTAGTAATTTAAAAATAATTTAAATATATTTGTAAAGATAATTACAACTAGAATAGTCAAACTAACCAATGATTTTTCTTTCAGACACCAGATACTTTTCCAAGCAGCGAATTTATCGCAGAATCTACCACACTTAGAGATACAGTCATTTCCGGAGTTTACTCAAGCGCAACTGCACCACTTCTTGTTTCTATGGTAGCCGGCTGCGGAGTGCTCTTAGTATTAGTTTTCCTTGGATTATTCTACCTCAGAAAACGAATTTGTAACGTGGATAGAAAAGACAAACCGGTAAGTGATATTTGAAATCTTTCATGTCTCACTAACACAGTTTGCTTGGCTCTCAAAAATGGCCCACTACTTTAAAAAGTGCATGGTTAAGGATCTTATATATTTTTAACTATATCTTATCATACAGCTTTCTCCTCGCTTTGGCAATGCCTTTGCTTAGCATACGTTATGATTGTAGCGTGTACGGCCAGGAGAACCTCTGCTTGCTGAACGGTATATAACGAACCCGCAGTACGGCGTGTGTGGCGCGGGAACTGTCGGCGCTCCGGTCGCCGTGCCGGGCTCTCCGATACCACTACCTGCAAATAAATCCAGCGAACCTCAAGTGACACTGTTAGAAAGGAGTGCACTCACGTTCCTAGAAGAAGTTGGCGAAGGCTGCTTCGGAAAAGTGTATAAAGGTATTTCTTGATATATAAAAATTTTAGACTCTATATTACAAATTGCAGCACAATTTGTATTGGTCAAATATATTGCTTTTCTTCATATTATATAGTTTAATGTTTTTAAACTTTCAATTAATTACAGATGATGATAATAATAATAATAGTACACAATGAGTAAAAAAAATCACAAACATTAATTTATATCTATCTATACTTATTATAAAAATAAGTCCCCCGGCCGCGTCTTTCTGTCCTCCTGTCTGTCCTCCTGTCTGTCCTCCTGTCTGTCTGTACGCGATAAACTCGAAAACTACTGAACGGATTTTTATACGGTTTTCAACAATAGAAAGAGTAATTCTTGAGGAAGGTTTAGGTATATAATTTATTATGCTTTTATGTAAATTAGCTGAAATACGGCGACAAATGTTGAAGAGGTCGCAAAAAATCTCGCCAAATGGGAACTTTCCACGCGAACGCCGCGTAAACTAGCAAAGATACAGTTAAGTAATGTACTAGAGAATTCAAAATCTATAAAAATGCTACAAAAAAGTCCGCGATAGCATATCTCTATCTCTTACGGTTGACTTACAATAACCACTTTTATGTTAACATTTTTAATTAAAAACATTACGTTATTTTCAAAGTTATTTTCTTTAGTTCGGTATTAATCCTTATCCAAATGAATATTTTAGTTAGCTTAGTCATTTAATGCAGATTAAAATTGCTCTTTACACTAAATCAATCAGATGAATAGTTTTTGAGATATCGTTGTTAGAAGTAATTAGTAGCGAAACATTTTTAATGCTTGGCGAGCATTGAGATGCCTACGGCGAGTCCATCCCCTCTGCCCCGCATCGCTCGACCGCCTGCTCAAGCTATATAAACCGCGCGATGTAGCGCGCGATCCTAGGATACTTTTTACCGCGGGAAAATATCTTATTTCTGAGGAAAAATACAAAAACTGCAATGTAAGAGTATACTAATATGTAACACCTAAGAATTTAGTTTTTGGTCATCTGAACGCGGGCGGAGCCGCGGGCAATGCTAGTATTACATAAATTTAGTCTACTTGTCTACATAAATATCTGATGTTTGACAAATTAAATGTATATAGATTTGTTTAAATGTTTAACTGCTTTACGATCGACAAGGTATCTGGAAGCATAAAAACCTATGATTAATCAATCAAAATATTACTCTGATAAATTATATTTATTTGTTTATATTAAAGGTGTCCTGAGAAATACCAGTGCAGAGCATGAGGTGGCCATTAAAGTGTTAAAAGATAGTGCTGGACGCAGTGCAGAAGAAGATTTTGTAAGGGAGGTCTCTATTATGTCAGCATTCCGACATCCAAATATTTTAACACTAATTGGAGTAGTTTATAGAGGTAAATATTTCAGAGTAATAACATTGCGTAATTTCTTTAACACCTCCAGGTAAATTTCTAAGAAATTAATTAAATTTCTAAGAAATCTATTGTTAACTGTAACGCCGGCGTGTTCGCGGTCGTTGAGGGATTAAATTAAGTATTATACTTAGTTTAGTAAAAATTCAGAGTTAAATACTAAAATATCTATACTTCCATACTAATATTATAAATGTGAAAGTGAGGATAAATGTGAGGATGGATGTATGGATGGATGTTTGTCACTCTTTCACGCCAGAACGGCTTAAGGGATCTGGATGAAATTTGACACAGACATTGATTAGTCTGAAATAGCATATATGCTACTTTTTATCCCGGAAAAATGTACGGTTCCTATGGGATAGATATTTTGTTTGTGTTTTTCACTAAAGACAAACCCGAAGCGTAGCGAGAATGAGTCGCCAGTTGTACATATTTTGAAATAGCTTAGCTATCACCTCTTAACAATGTTAATATTTTATTCTTCCAGATGATACAAATATAAGCCCTTGGATGGTTTTTGAATATATGGAATGGGGAGACTTAGCGGGCGTCCTACGAGGCTCTCGAGGTGGAAAACGATCTGGACTTGTTCTGGACGAAACTGCTTTGTTACATGTAGCTCTTCAAGTAGCGCGTGGTATGCAGTATTTGGCTTCTAGAAGATTTGTTCATAGAGATTTGGCAGCAAGGAACTGTTTGGTTGGAACTAATTTAGCAGTTAAGATAGCAGATTTTGGAATGTCTCGAGACGTTTATACTTGTGATTATTATAAAATGGGTGGAGAACGACCAATGCCTGTTCGTTGGATGTCCCCAGAGAGTATTGTGTATGCTAGGTTCACCCATGAATCCGATGTGTGGTCATATGGTGTAGTATTATGGGAAATTTATAGTCGTGGGAAACAACCTTTCTACGGCTGCAATAATTACGGTGCAACGAAAAAAATATTACGAGGCATACTCTTAGTTCCTCCAGAAGATTGTCCTCCGTTCGCATGTGAGTTAATGAGAGCTTGTTGGGCTATAGATCCAAGAGATAGAATAGATTTTGACGCAATTTGTACTAAATTAGAAACCGCTCAAGCGGCTGGAGGATCTAGTACACAAATAAGACTACCTCGCCCACCTGCAGGTCCCTTGGAGTCTGAGGGCTATTTGGTTCCTAATCCACCACCAACTACAGTAGATTATTTGAAACCACTCCCAGACCTAGACCCTGACTCGGACTTCAGTGAAGATGAAGACGGCGAATAGTACACTTGACGTCCAGCTCCGGCGCCAAGCTCACAATATGTGCCACGCTTCTCGCCTGTAACTGCTGCCAGTTGGACTGCCTTCACATTCCTATCAGACATGGATAACAAACATTTTGAGTGTTAATTTAAAACACCCATAAGATTTTGGAATGTTGAATCTTGTAGCACCACCTTGTAGATATTTGTAGAAATAATACTCAACTACTTAGTGTGATATTTTTACATAACATGACGCGCTGTTGTTAATAACGGATATGAATCTATTGTCTAATTTATAACTCTCTGTAAAAGTGTTTTTACATGATATTGTTTATATTTAAATATTGTGCCATAAATACCAAAAATATACGAAATGAAAAATTATAATAATATACCTGTATCTTTTTAATTGGTACTAAATCTCTATGAGATTTAAGTAAGATTATTTTATGTACATTGAAATTGTTCTTAAGTATAAATGTAAGATGACTAGGTCATGAATTAAATATATATTTTATTGTATGTATTTTATAGATGTGATGTGTCAAATAATTGTAGGTACGAGTAAGTTCAAAACGCTTCTGTTCATCATTTTCAAGGCTTAGAATGTTTTATGAAAAATTGTGTACATCTAGTTCGTAATGACTAGATAAAATATTATATATTACATTTTTAATTTATTTACTTTTTGTTAATGACTTTCGTTGTCAAAATATGCACAATATTTTGCATACTACAAAAAATAAACCAAAACGATATTAAATACCTGCCTATATGCATATCGATGAGAACTAAAGTGCTTATATTTCTGGCTTGATACGCATTATGGTGGAATTCAATTATTTAACATTTATTATTAGGAACAGAGTATGAATATATAAATGTGACTTCTGTTGATATTTATGTCAGATAACCAGTAAAGTTAAATAAATTTAACTTGTTTATGATAAAAAATGAGTGTCAAATTAGATAAAGTATTATGATACCCTTATCAAAGTACATATGGTTTAACATAAAGTTTAACCTGTCTTTGTATTATCCTATCAATAAATCTGTAGAAGTTCTTCAATCCATAACAATACACCCTGAAAAAGCATTATCAAAAAGGTGTAAGATATACTTACCTGCTCTTGCATTCGTATATGCATCTGTTTTTGTCACAGCTGCTTCGAGTGTCCTGAATATATCAGATTATTCATTAAGCTAATGTTGTTTCCTCGTATGCAACTTACACTTGTCTATTTCCCACTAAATCTGCGATTGATGCATACAATGGATTAAATAAAAAGTTAGAAGCATATTAATACTTTTAGTTTTAGTTAGAAGCACATTTGTCTTACTTATGTAAATCGTAGCCCTTCCCCTTACTGTTTTAGTTTACGGTTGCCCTTACTGTGGATTTAATAAATATATCTATTCATGAACAACTATTTTAAATCATACTAAATTAAACCTGTAAAACTCTTACAATACATATATGTATTCAAAGGCATCGCTCCTTATTAATAGATAGGTAGGTATAAATAAAAGCTAACTAAAAAGATGAAAACAAATTCCCGAAGGAATTTACTATTATGCAATCGAAGACATACACGTTTCATCCTTGCCGCGAGTTGTACATACTGATACTTGTATGTATGTCTCCGACTGCATAATATATAGTATATTCCATCGCGAACTTGTTTTCATCTTTTTAATTAGTTTTTATGCAGTCGGGTTTTTTATTTTTATAATATATTTATTTATTTACAGCTTTTTAAGTATTTTTAAGTAGGAAAAATAGCGAGAATGGTTGTTAACCAAATTTAAATCATTATATATCCTAAAATGTTATTTAAAATGAAAAATGATTCAAGAAACCTAAAAATGATTTTTTAATACCTATTCAACGATACCTCACTTGACATAGTTCGTCAATTTTCATTTTTTCTTTTTCACAATATTGCATCTAAAATCGGCCATTTTGATTTTTCCAAATTTTTATGCTATCTATGACATTGGTGCCGTCATGACGAATGAAACGACGGGGTAGAAAGAATTGTTGAATCTACATTAAGTTAAATCCAAAACAACTTTACATATAAATCATAATGTACAAAATTTAATGTGATAAGTTTATAAATAATAAAAATACCTGCCTATAATATAACACCGAAAATTTCGCATGTAATATTTGCATATTAAGTAAGGATCATTATCATATTTTATCAGATGCGTTAAGTCTATTATGCAAGACTCATATATTATACGTGTATATGTGCCAATTTATTAAAAAAATGCAATGTAATAAAAAGTTTATTGAATACAATTCTGTATGTATTAATTAATATATATTTGTTTTATTTTACATCTGTACCTATGGCATATTCAAGGTAGGTTTAGTGTATGTATTTCATAAGGCAGTTTCTGTTATCTTCGTTCATTCAATCATGCTTTATTATTATTTGTTGAAGATGGAATATAAGAATTTTTGCCTTTACGATCGAGTATATAGGGAATCATGACGACGGAAGAAGTGAAAAAAGTAGGTACCTATGTAGAGATTGCAGTATCATTTGATAGTTACTCTACCCCGTTTGACTATAATTCTGCAAATTTTATAGCGTGACTAGCATTGCCCGCGGCTCCGCCCGCGTTCAGATGACCAAAAAGCAAATTCTTAGGTTTTACATGTTATGTTATGTTTTGTATTTTTTCTCAGAAATGAGATATTTTTCCGCGGTAAAAAGTATGCTATATGTTTACCCGGATAACCAGCTATCACCATATCAAATTTCATCAAAAACCCTCCAGTGGTTTTTCTGTGATGCGGTAACAGATAGACAAACAAAAATTCTAAAAACTGTAGATTCGGCCTCTGTATCGATAATAATGTGTATTTCAATAAGATTTTCCAAAAAATATTTAATGTACAGATTTGGCTTAGTTACAATTTCATTATGTGTATAGATGTTGTCCATTTTAATCTATGTTTGAGCAATGTGAACTAGATTAGTTAGGTATTTTAGTTCTATCATAGCGAATTTTGCATAACATTCTAGTACTGAAATGATTTATATTATGTAAGTGCGTATAACAGAGTTATAGTTATTTGTCTTTCTTATGATCATGTTTTTTTTAAGTTAAGAAGTACTAGTATTAAGTAGTACCTAGTATTAAGGATTGTTATCTTTAAACGAAGTCGCAAAGCTTCTTTTACACCTACATAGTTGTGGTGGTACGGATCTCTTGGTGCGCGAATCAAACTCGCACTTGCCCGGATGATTTTAATTCGAATTGGCGTTAGACCTACCGGACGGAAATGACTTGTAAGTTGTACAGTTAATGTTTTGTTTTATGTATAAAAAATAATAAAAATTATAAAAATGTTTTAAAGTTAAAAAATATTGTAATGTAATTGGTGCAATTTTCATTTTGTTAATTGTGGGTAGGCTGTCTGTAACGACTATACCTTCAAGACATGTATCACCTCAGTCTCTCCCGTGACCATGGATGCTGTAAAGCATTCGAAACGTCGGGAACCAAAAATCTAAATAAATTCGCGAAAAAATACGAAAAGATAGTTTTATTTAAAATTCGTCCCAGTTGTTAAATATAGGTCTGTGATATGAAAAATAAGAAGTATAAGGCGTTGTTTACTAAGCGTGCCTTGGTAGCTTTGAGACGCTCTCAGAACCGCGTCGCTCGCTCGGACATTGGGATATTTATGCGTAGCCCATATTCCATTACCCCCTTTTTCCGAAGATAGCCGCCATATTGAATTTTTATACCTAGTTATTTTTTATACACTTCTTAGTTATTATTTCATATAAATTTAGCCCAAATTACACGTATTCAAATAGATCAGTCGGAATAAATTTTATAACACATTATAAAATCACGGTGCTATCACGTGTGAGTCGTGAGTTACACCGAATAGAAAAACGTAAAATGGAGGATGAAAGTTTATATGAAACTCTGTAATTAATGAGCAGAAAGTGTTATTTAGTTTTAAAATGAAAAATAAAACAATAAATTAAAATATATTTTATTAATTTTGTATTCTTGTGGAAAAAAGGTGATAAAAACTTGCACCAAGGGAAAATAGACGGCACGGCATTCTGAATTCTCCTCTAACTTTTGACATTGTAAATAGACATGCGTAGGTCCGGATTGAAATAGTTCCCGGAACTATGTCCTAGGCCGGAACGATATCGTTCCAATCCGAGATGTTAATTGAAACAGGTTCACAGTTCCATATAGTTCCACATGTGCAGGAGTGAGATGGAGCGAGTAAACGAATATATTGGATCGATCACCGAAGCGACTGACTGAACTGAACGTAACCGACTCCTGCCGAACGTAACCGACTCCTGCCGAACCTACCCGAGCTATAGCTGTATATTAAATTTTAAGGTGCTCCCTCACTAGAGTTAAATTTTTTAATAAACATCTGTTAAGCCGCGTCCACATGCTGGGCGCTTGCCACAAGCACCGAGAATCATAAACACGTGCCAAACACCGAACACAAACTAAATACATTAAATAAATAAATAAAATTAAAATAAAAAAGGCTTTCATTTCTTGCGCTTACTAAAAATGCTATTAAAACAATTTAAGAAAGTAAGTATTTATTAATTATTAATAAAATCCTTTCATATTCAGTTATATTATAATAATAGTATTAGATCTAATGTTATATTAATTATTATGTATATAAAGAATGTTTATTAATTAAAACTTTTTTCTTAATTTTTACAGTACCTAATATGAATTAGAATTTATAATTAATAAAAATAGTAACAATAAATAATTAAAAATTAAAATCAATGTGTATCATAAAATAATTCATAAGTTAAACAATCATTTACAATATTTTTATTTATTTGAAGTAGTTTTTTTTTAGTTTTTATTTTCCATTTTTAGTGTAGATATAGTAGATACCTAGTACCAAAGTAAGAAGAGGTCAAACAATAAAAAAATATATTTATACGTGTCGAATTGAGAACCTTCTCCTTTTTTTCGTGGGTTTAAAAT